GTTAACCGATAGTGTCCTGAGGAATGATCCACATTTGTGTGGCTCTTGATACGGGTTTGTTAAGCCAGTCCCCAGTGGCCTCGTCTTTCCGAGAACACCCGCAAGCAGCTCGTGCAGTCCGTGGGCTCCCTGTGCTCTGAGGATGGTGCAGGAGACGGCTCCCCAGGAGGCCCTGGGAGCTGATGTTCTCCTGCGGGGAGTGCAGTGACGTGCTGGGTGCTGCCTGAGGAACGACTTGGGAAGCTAAGTGTCAGTGCAAACTGGAGCTTGCTGGCGCGTGGTGCTCAGGTAAGGAGGGTTTTGGCATCGCTGCAGGGTGCTGTTGTCAGTGGCTTTTTCTGTGGCTGCTCTTTTCTGCTGGTAGTTGTGTGTGGTGGCCTCAGTCGAAGCAAGTGGGTGAGCACCAGACTTGCCTCTTAGGTAAGGTAACTTTGCTGGCGCCTCTTCCAGACAACATGGTCTGCCACCCACCGGCTCTGGCATAGCTTAGCCCCGTGGTATTTTGTGTTCATATCTTCTGAGGCTTTTTTCCATGCTCTTCCTCTACCAGGATCTTGTCTGTCAGAGCTGCTGTGGTCGAATTTGTCCGCGTTGAGTTGCATTTTCCACCGCACTGCCCCCCACAAGACCCGAGCTGCCCGGTTGATGGGAGAGCCCCGCTCTCATTCTCATGTTCATCTTTGCCCCGTCCTTGTTGTGGTGACTGCAGCTGGGCTCGTAGCTCTCTGTCTCTGGGAATGCTGCACCTTTCCCAAAGGCTGTTTCTCCGTAGCCCGGAGTTTAACAAACTTGAGAGAGGCTTCAAGGGGACACGCAAGTTCTGGAGAATGTTTTGGACACAAGGTGCAATTGGGAAGAAGTTGGGAGAAGATCTATCTTTTCTTGCAGCTTACACACAGCAGGGAAAGGCAATGCAGACCTGAACTGCAGTGAGCAGCAGAGCTCTGAAGAACTAATTCTCAAATGACACAGTCACAAGTCTGTGGGATTTTTGACTTTTTTGGCATGAACTTCCTCCAAAAATGAAGTCAAATGACAAAACCTGCCACTTCCTATGTTTTGTTTTTATTAAAAAAAAAAAAAAAGGCAAAGGCAACTAAGTCCACAGACCCCTGGGCACTTCCAGTCAAGTGTGACGAGATCAGGATAGGCGTGCATGAGGAACCCAAACGCCACCTTGCCTGCTGGTATCCCAGTGACTTGCTGAAGGTGTCTTTGTAGTTGACAGGATTACCCCCTGCAGCTTTTTCAAAGAGCTGCCCATAAATTTGCCTTTTCTCATCCAGCCTCTGCCAGCTTGCAGAAGCTCCATAGGCTCAGAAGAGGTCACTCAATACCAACATTGGTGAGAAACTGCCAAATGTTTAAACAGGGATGAAGGAACCTCTGCACAACCTTGCCAGAGTATTCACAAAGCCAAGGGAAGCTGCCTCATTCTGTATTTGCTTCCTCTGCCTCTCAGTTTTGTGGCAGGGACAGAACTGAGGCCAAAAGCACCCCAGTTTCTTGCATCTTACTTGGGAGCTTCAGTTCGTCATCAGGTGGATGCAGAGAAACAGCCTTTGCTGTCTGCAGACAGCAAAGGTTCAAAAATGCTGCTGGTTCCCTGGGTCTGTGGTCTCTGTGATACTTCCCTAGGACTAATGTTCGTGCAAAGGGGGAGGCAGGAAGACATTCGAGACAGAAATATGTATTTCTCTTTCAGTATTTACTCCAAGTGATATGTCCTTTAATGTGTGTGTGTGTGTGTACAGTGTCTTTCAGCTAGGTGGGTTTCCAAGTTGGATGTACTGGAACAGGGAAGCGGCTCTGGGAATGATCTGCTGGCAGCTTGGAGGCAGTTTGGGGAAGAAACAGAGCAGGCCGTAGGACAAGCGCGCAAGCACCTGAGAGCGTGCGAGGTCCTTTCAGTCCCTCACTGCAAAGCCTGCCAGTTGTCAGGGCAAGGCTGAGCTTTTCTTCCTCACATTGCCTGGCGCTGTAAACTCCCTCTGGTTCAGCTTTCCTTGCTGGTAAATTCCCGAGATGAGACGGCCCCCGCGCGTGGCTCCACGCGGAGCATCCGCAGTGCCGCCCAGCACCGCGGTGCCTGCCGTGGCCTCAGCAGCAGCAGCACAGGCCTGGTCTCGCCTTCTGAGGAGATGAGAGGTCCCTGGAGGGGAAAGGTCCTTCCTGCTGCTGCTTGGAGCTTCTTCCCCTGCATCACCTTACTACATAACTGTTTAAACTGCAGAGCTCAAATGTAAGTACCAGAAATGATGCTCTGGGTCGTTACTGGCTCCCTTCCCTGTGCTGCTTGCTTTAGTGCCAGCCTCGGGCACCTGGCCTGGCCTCCCCTCGTACCCGCTGCGCTCCATCTCGGGCAGCCACCAAGAAACGTGCTCGGCTTTACCATATGCCTCGTTACGCCTGGCTGCGTCTCCAGCCTCCTTTGTGGTTAACAGAAATAGATCTTAATTAAAAGCTTGTTATCAAGTTGTTGTGGAGCATTAGTAAATAAAAATAACTCTTACAGTCCCATCTTGTAGCTCAGTATGTGGCAGCTGGAAGCCTTTGACACCTGTTTATTTAAGAAAATGAAAGGATAGTGTTTATTGGATTCTCGGTTTGCTCTCAATGGGCTTTAAATCCAGATGTAAATGAGGATCTGTCATGCTGCTGTTACCCTTCAGAAGGGTAAATATGGTCTGCACTCTTCAGTTTGCCTCATTTTGAGCTGTGAAGTTGTTCAGACATCTCCTGATGGTGTGAGGAGCAGATACCACCTGTCTGCTTGTCTGGGTACGTGCTGCTTGGTGTCTGGTCTCAGCCCTGCCACCTCCTTTCTGCCATCCCCCTCTGTGTTTCTGTGCAAAGATGCCCTGACCTCCTGTTAAAGCTCGCTACTTCTGTAAGTCTCCCAGAAAGAAACACATAACAATTTAGTGCAGCTTCCCAGGACTCCGTTCCCATTTTCTGTTTGTTTTTTTTGGGCCGTAACATCCTCCAAAGAGCGCCTGCATTCTCTCTTTTTCACATCAAACATCAAGTTAGCACTTAAATTTGATAAAACGATCTGCTCAGTTGAAGAGCCTTTTTTCTGCGCTCGTTAAAAACCTTTGACTCCACCAGTTTTTTTTTTACAGGTGCTCACTCCTTCTCCAGGGTCGTGCTTCAGAGAGGGCAGTTGCCCCTCTGGTGTCCCGTGTGTTGCAGCACTCGCCTCCCGCCGTGTCCCCCTCGCACCCACGGGCAGTTGGGCAACCTGCTGCTCACCTTGGCCACCAGCGCAGAGACCGGCTTTCCCCGAGGAGCGGTTGTGCCCACGCGAAGACCAGGCTAAGGGGATCTGGGCACGGAGGTGGCAGTGCTGCAGGCCACCTGGCCCCCTTGGATGGGGAGCAGGTTAAGATTTGATGTTTCATGTAGCTTTTTCTTGAGAGACTGAGGTGTTTTTATATATAGCATCGTGCTGACCGCTCTGGCAGATGGCTGAGAGGGAATTTTCCACTCTAAGCTTTTTTGCAGTGTTTTGGAGAGTTCCTTCCTGCTTGCAAAATCAGCAAGGCCCGGGAGGTGGCGGCACCAGGCCGCTTTCTGGCTCGTTTCTGCACGGCTCTGGACAAATGGGTCTGTGCACCTCGCCGTGCCCACGCGATGCTGCCCTGCGTTTTACGGCCAGGAATGTGACGGTTAATGAGACACAGCCTGTGAGATGAGGATGAGGCAGGCTGAGGGCCTGCAGGTCCATAAAACAGTTGGAGTTGCCCTGTCAGAAGATGTCACTTAAATGCGCATCATTGTTTTAAGCGCCAAGGTGTGTTGTGAGATCCCATATGCTGAAATAAAGGTGGCTGCTGTTGCACTCAGCTATTTAATGAAGGGAATTTGGCACGGTCGGATGTGCTGTCGTGACTGGAAACTTCAACACCGTGTGGTCAGGAGCTTTAGGCATATATTTCTGCTGTAGCAAATGGGTCCAGAGGCAGGGCCATAGTAGCAAATCTAACAGAAAAGGGATCGTGGAAATAATTCTGTGTCTGCATTAAAATCACAGGGCGGGTAGCAACACTTGTGCTTTCCTGCTCGCTGCTGGGCTTGCAGACTGACCGCAGCCCTGCAGCCTCGTCTCACACTGGTGCTGAACCCCCAGGCTGAAGTGTTGGCTCTCAAAAAAATGGGGGGCCGACAAAGCTTTATACCAAGCAGTTTAATCCTAGTTAAGAAAGAGCCCTTTGGTGGCAGCCTTTCTTAAGTGCCTAGAAAAATGGTGCAAAATCCCCACCGTAGTGCCTGTCACGCTCTAGTTTGAATGGAGGAATTATACATCCTCCTGAAATAAGAGCCAGGAAGGAGTTTGGAGTCTGCAACTTCCTATGCCATGGCAGAGTTCATCATGGCAACTGGAGGACAGCTAAACATGGAAAATTAGTGCTTTCTAATTGCAGCTCTATCAGCCCTGCTCCTCCTTCCCCCAAGGTGGTAGCAGCAGGTGCAACTGTTTTGGTCCCTTTCTGCCTTTCTGTGTCCCTGAAACTTCTGTTTTAAGAACAAACTGCAGCAGCAAGGTCAGAGCAGCTGCAAGATTGTTTAGGGTTCCCTGGGGCATTAAAGTTGCCAGGGGCATTTAGGGATTTTTTTTTATTGATCAATATATACTGCTCAGAGCAGTGTATGACTTGGAAGGAACTAAAATGGCCTTGTTGGATTTGTTGCTGATTTGGGTGCGTTGTCAGAGGAACAAGGATCTTGCAGCTTGTCTAAGGCACAATAAATCACGTTTCTATTCCCGAGTGCAGGAGAGGTGGTAGTCTGCAGCTGAGAGTGGTGGGAAGATATAAAGGGCACTTGGTTAGGATGTTTTCTTATTTCTGCCAAATGCCTCTTGCATGTTTTTAAACACAGATGAAGTTGTGGGATGCAAACATATGGGAGGTTTAAAAATGGTTGATTTTTTGGAACAGAAATGAAGTTTTGAAATCACTCTTTACAGCTCTGCCTTCTCTTTCTTCTCTTGCAGGTGAAGTGGAAAGGGAAGGACTTGTTTGATTTAGTGTGCAGGACGCTGGGACTCCGCGAAACCTGGTTCTTTGGCCTTCAGTACACCATCAAGGACACAGTGGCTTGGCTGAAAATGGACAAGAAGGTTGGAGCTTCCCCTTGCCATGTCATGCATCGTGAGGAGAGAGGATATATTTTCTTTTGTCACACCTGAGGTTGCGTTAGGTGTGCTATAGAAGAGAATTGGGAGAAGTGCATTTAAACCTCAGAACAACTCAATTTATAAGTAAAAATGAGAAGAATTAGGTCGTATTTGCCCCTAATCCTTCCCAAGTCTGTGAGGCTACTCACTGGAATCCCCTTAGGGCATTTTGGAGGCAGCCATGCTGAGGTTGCCAAATTTTCATCAAGCTTACTGTAAATGAGGCCTGATAGTTTCTTTTAGAGGATCATTCATGTGCTTCCAAATGACAAATCTTTCAGAAACTTGATTTATTTTTCTTTTTTTTTGTGTGTGTGCAAGTAGTGGAAAGTGAAGTTGCACTTTGACTTCTTGCTTTGTGTTTGCTGTGGTTCATGATGCTCAGAAGAGCTCCAGAGGAAGAAGACTAGAAAGAAAAGGCAAGGGAAATGGCAGGAGGAAATCCTCTCTGAGCTGATCAACTCTTAGCTGGAGGAGCACTGGATGTGGTGCTGCTTGCACCCAAATTTTGTTAAATGCTAAAAAATGCTAAAAAATAAAAAGCAGTTAATTGGACTGGCAGGGAAGTCTTGACAAATGCCTCATCTCGCGCTGAGGTTTTAGACCAAGATGAATCCAAGCTGGACATCCCCAGCACACAAAGACAGACAGCAAGGAGAAGTATCACTACCCAGCAAAGCTGGAAGAGAGTGGGGAGCCTGCTCGTGGCAGAGCAGGGCAGGCAGCACACACACAGCAGACTAGGATCAGCCTTGGCTCAGCACAGGCAGCTCATTCCTCATGCTCTTTGTTGCTGTCTCATTTGTTATTTTGTATAGTTACGAATGTCAGAAATCTGCCTTTTTTCTTCCTCCCCCCCCTTTTTTTTTCTTTTTTTCTGATGCTTTTTTTAACCATGGTTTCTGGGCTACTTAGCTTGCGAAGCACCAAAAATGTTTGACAAAAGCTAATCGGAACAGGAAGGCTGCGTCTTGGCTCCAAGAGACAGCAGTGCTGCTGAGGCAGGAAGCAGTAGCTGGAGGGTTTTTGTGTCCCCCAGGTGCTGGATCACGACGTTCCCACCGAGGAGCCAGTCACCTTTCACTTCCTGGCCAAATTTTATCCCGAGAACGCAGAAGAGGAGCTGGTCCAGGAGATCACCCAGCACTTGTTCTTCCTGCAGGTAGGAGCCTGGTTATTGCACCCAGTTCCCAGCTCTGGAGAGCCAGAAGCCGGGACAGGCAGAAGTGCCAGGAGGGTTGCAGAGTCTGAGCAGTTCAATCAGCCAAGTGTTGACCTCTACCGTTACATTCGCCACTGCTATGAAAGGATTTGTCTTCAGCTGTAACAAAAATGTTTGCAAATAGGTCAAAGATGGTTTGACTGATGGAGCAATAGCAGTTGCCCAGATTTACAGGCTTAGTAAACTGGTGATCAGTGATATCAATGTGTTGTAACTAAGGAAAATGGCTCTACTGGGTGTGAAGGACATGACTTCGGATCCCTCCTCCCTGCATTTGCAGGGGGAGCTGGCCCTTGCCTTTAAGCCTGGGAGGTGAAGGCTTAAAGTGAAGGTGAAACATGGGTACCCTGCCCTAGGAGCCAGCAATCAGCCTGTTCCTGGTCAGTGAGGTTCACTGTTCCCCACAATCTCCAAATCTTTGGAGGAAAAAATCCTGGAAGCACAGCCAGGACAGAAGCTGATGGCAAGAGCCAGGCGGGAGGAGAAAACACAGGTGCCAGCTGCCCCCCTGTCACACACGCTTGTGCGTTAAGTGCCTGGTGAGCGTATGGCCTCTTCTTCTGTCTTTAGGAATCAGGTCAGCTGAGAAATGAAGCCCTGTTAACAGAGGCACTTTCTGGTTCAGCCAGATAGCAACATGCTGAAACAATTTAATGTGAAGGGGTGTATGACCTCGCAAAAGACTTTGCAGGCAGGAACGTAACAGGCAGTAGAGACCTGATCCCAGATTGTGATGGAGATGTCTTGGCCACTCCAATGAAGTACCTGGCTCTTCATCAGACACTGCTAAAAAATAAGGGATGCTTGTATTAAGTTTTTACACCAAAGTGGAGGTAACCTGCATTTGAAAGCTCTTGGAAATAAAATAGTGTGCTTCCCCCTCCCCTCTCATCTTAAAATGTGTATTAAAATGATCCCACCAGCTCACTGATGCTCTTCATTGTTCCAAAGCTGCTCTTTGATGTTCAGGGCTAAAAGAGCTTCTAAATGTGAAATATTTCTGTTAATTTTCCTGGCTATGTTCTGTGCCACTGTCTCCTGATGGGTATTCTAAGTGTCCACTTTGCCACGGGCTTTCTTCTTGAAGAGAAAAAATAATTCTGGCATGTTTGAGAAAAATCATAGAGAAAAAGCAGAGAAAGCTGCTTTTTTGTAAATGCAGACCATGACTTTTCTGCTGTGATTTCTGATTATGTGAAAGGAGGCTGCACTCGCATAAAACATGTGGGAAACAGAAGCATGCACGTGCCTGCAAGCTCTCCTATTTATCTTAACGCAGGAGAACATCTTTTGTGATTAAGTTTTAACAGACTTTGAGAACACAGCACAGACTATAAATTCAAATCGGTGTTAACTGTATCTCTGTGACAATCCATTTAAGCCTCCCATGGAAATAGTGTTTATTTTGTTTTGTTTTTTTAATCTATATTCAGGGAAAATTAAGCATGTCAAAGAAAACAAAGAAACATGATAGGTTTAATTTTTTAATGCGGAGAAGCCAGGCAATGTACAGCACAGGTTCATGGGCGCTGTACAGTGGCTCTCCTGGGGTTGCCCTGGGAGGTGACCCATGGATCTGCTTGTGCCCAGGGGAATTGGAGAGTATCTGCATTGAGTCCCAGTGCGCAGCAGCTCCAAACGAGGCCTTCGTCTCCTAGGAAAAAACATCTGTTTGCTCTTTTGTTGTTGTTGGTTTTGGTTTAATGCAGCGCACAGATGTCATTCCAACACACAGCTTATGCCTGAAGAGGTTTTATCTCTGTATTTACATGTGAGATTATTTTTCCCCCTTGCCTTCAGCGACAGGATGTAGGTTCTGCTGTTTTCCATGTATAAATTTAGCTCCTCTTTCAAACCTGTCTGAAAAAGGCAGCCTGCAAGAGTGTGCACTCTTCCCTTCGGAGATTTCCCAGGCCTGAATTTTAACTGCTCTTGGGAAAACCATTAACCGGCTGGTTGACAGCTGTAGTTAAAACAAACTACAGCCATCTCTTGTGACAGTCATTTACTGCACAGCCCCTCTAAACCCGTTGTGTGTCCTTTGTTGCTCTTCACAGGTAAAGAAGCAGATTCTGGATGAGAAGATCTATTGCCCTCCCGAGGCTTCAGTGCTGCTGGCTTCCTACGCGGTCCAAGCCAAGGTAGGCGCAGGGGAGCCAGGCAGGGTCTCCATCTGCCTGTGGCCTTTGGGCAGTGGGTAGCTTTGCTCCCAAGAAGGTGCTTTGCGGTACGTCCACTTTCCACGCAAGAGGAAGATGGGAAAAATTGTTAACAATTTGGAAGTGGCAGAACTGCACTAGTGATATTGCCTTTTCTGCACCGGTTATTCTAACTGCCTTGTGACTTTGCACAGAATTTTGCAGTCTCTTTAAAAGACTCTTTAACAAGGGCTTAGCTGAGGAACTGTAGAAGGATTTTTCTTGGTTGCCTTCTGAAGTGTAGGTTATCACAGGAGCAGAGGAGCTTCTCTAGGCATTTTATTTATTTATTTATTTATTTTAAACCCGCCCCCCCCCCTCCTTTTCGGCACATCTGCCGTGGGACTAGGGCTTCCATTGCTTCCCCCGGATTCTCCCTGTCTTCATAATAACCACTTTATTGTACATGCAGCAGTTTGTTGTGCTAACATGGCTGCAGTCTTGGAGGACAGCATGCAGCTTTGGGCAGCTTGTAGATCTGCTCCTGGGGTAGCACAAGTAGTCTGAGGGGTGGGGTAGGGATATTCCTGTAACAAGTGGGAGAAGAGCTGTTTATCACAATACCTGCATAACTCTCTCTGGATTAAGAGCTTTCGTAGTTGAGCACTGAGCTTTTTCCATGAATCCAAGTCCTTGGTGCTTCAACACTTGCTTTTCCTAGCCAACTTGCTAACGTTTCTCCTAACCCTTCAGTCCATGCCCAGTTTAGCCAAGGGCTGTGTGGCACATAACAGCATTGCTTGATGGTGAATGTTTGCATTTACTAGAAAGTTTTTACTAGAAAGAAAGTTTTCTCCTCATATCGATGAAAACATGTTTTGTGAGAGTCTCACGAGCCTGGGAAAAACGAGTGGTTTCTAAAAATGTTTCTATTTGCATCAAACATTCATCGCTTTCATTGGAGCACATGAGTAAACACTCACTTGGCTTTCTCTCTGGCGACCTAATGAGCTGAAGATCTGTAGGGGATGACTTTCCTGTTGCCAAAATCAATAAACTCTTGGGTAAATATTGAACCCTGTTAACTTGTGTCTCCTGTTCTTCTGATCAGGAGCAGGCTGTAGTTTGGTGCAGGCTGTGCTATCACGTTGTCTCATCCTGTGGCTCAGCTTGGGCTCAGGGACACCCTTGATACACTCGATATTCACTTGTCCTGAAAGGGTGGCCAGCGGATTGGAGCGGTTTTACTTATCTTCTAATTACCATTCTGTAAAGAGATTATCCAGTGGGAGGCAGATGCTCTTCCTTAACCTACCTAACAGACCTTGGAGTCTGCTTTGGGCATGACTTTTCCTTGGAACCTTCCTCAACCAAGCAGTACCCAGGCTGTGTTGCCCTATTACTTTCTTTTTTTCCCAGCATAGAAGGAAGCTGGAGGCAAAATCCTCAGTCTGGAGCTGAGATGCCTGGAGAGGCGTTGCAGAAGGTTATCTCCTTCCAGTGACACAGGTAGCAGCAGCCTTTCCAGGGTCCAGGTGACCTTTCTGGGTCAGAAGGTGGCCAGTAGTTGCAGAACTTTCATTAGTGATGTGCTGATCTCTATCAACAGAGGCAAACCAGCCTGATACAGGCTTGCGTTTGCACCTGAATAGCTGTTTGACTGAGAGCAGGGCTCTTTATACTGCCCTTACCCACCTTTCTGAAATAACAAAGTAAGTGTGCATAGGACAAACAAAAGCTTGTTTCTTTTCTCTGCGCTGGTGCTGGTCTGGGGAATTGCTGGGTGCTTTCCCCTCTAACCTGGCGCTCAAACCACCCGCGCTGCCGTCAAGTGTTGGATGAGTTTCAGGTTTTAAACAGTGAGGAGAGGCATAGACTCTAGTGCAAAACACTTCCCTGTGGAAAAATGATAATGTTCAAGAGGTTTTTCCTTTTCTTGCCTCCTAAATGCAAATCACTGCCATGGGGTAGGCATGTTCATATCATGCAGCATTTCAGCATGCAGAAAGAAGGCTTTTATATGTTTGTTTATTTTTTTTTCCAAAACAGCTAGTGCTTTACTGTAATAGTTTGGAACTGAGCTTACTATACTAATGCAAGGTAACATAAGGCAGGTGTATGACTGATGTTAGGGCAGCTTTCACGTGTAAACAGAAATATTAATCATGCAACTCAATGAGACTTGAGTTTCCTGGAAAGTTTTGGAATAATGATTTAATTGAAAAAGACTTTAAATATATATTTGCCAAATCACTTGAGCGAACGTATACTGCAACGTACTGAACGTATACTTGGGCAGTTTGTTGATTTTCTTTTCTTTTTTTTTTTTTTCCCCCACGTGTGAATAATTAATGTTCTTATCCAGCCTTTCTCGTTACAAACATCCTTTGGGATGCAGCGATATATTTCATGACATGAAAATCACATAATCCGTACTTAGCCTTGGATCTTCGTAGCAGATCCCAACAAAAAATAATCACATTAATCCTATTTGCTGTTCTTTTCATCGCCCCAAAGTGGTTTGTTTCCTGCTTGCCCAAGGTTACCGGAGTTTTGTCAGCTCTGCTAGCGCTGCCTTCTCCTTGTTGCTGTCGGTTCGGGCACCGCGTCTCTGCCGTGGCACCTGCAGGCCTTGGGAGAGAGACACTTTGCCCTGTCTCGAGCACCCTCCTGAGTGAAATCCCCAGCGTCTTTCTATATGGATGGAAGCTGAGTCAGTGCTGATTGCTGCCTGCTTCCTTTGCATCTGTGCTGGCTCCAGATCAGTACTTGTGCCCTTAATCCCTACTTGTCTGGTATGAACCGTTACTTGCTGAGCTCCTCGAAGGATGTATGGATGGGCCAGCGATGCTGAGCGCTGATTTTGTCAAGGGACATCATGGCCCTGGCAGATTTGGAAAGTTTCCTGACGTTTTACTTGAGCGTCTTGTTGTCTTGTTGCTGTTTTGCACTCTCTGAGCTGAGGCTTTGCAGAAGAGCGGAAAAAGAAAGGCCATTTCTCCTGCAAAATGGCTTGAGAAAGCAGCGCTGTGTCTCGTATAGCTAGGAAGTGCCACATCAGGAGTCTCATCCGTTAGATTAATGAAGTCCAGGTGTTTACTGCGCGTGCCTCGTGTCTGTCATCCTCTTAAACGTGCTGAGTTGTTTGCATTGCTGGTTACTAGTTGATTCCTACCCCATGCAGGAAGCGAATTTGTTTTCACGCATCTGCAGAGACCCTTAGCTTTGAACAAGCCATTTTATTTCAGTCATTTTACACAATACTCAAGAAGATTGAAAGATTAAAATCTCAACAAGTATAAGGAATTGTTAGGTATACTTTACCAGGTCAGAAGCGCACCCAGTCCCTCAGGGTTGATTTGTAAGAGTAAGAATATTTATTTATGTATGTATTTTTATTATTCCCTTTTCTCTCTCTCTCTCTCTTCTTTTCTCTCTCTCTCTCTCTCTCTCTTTTTTTTTTTTTTTTTTCGTTTTGGGGCTCTTTTTTTTTGAGGGGCCCCCTTTTGCGGGGGGGGGGATTTTTTTGCCCCCCTTTTTGCTCTTTTTTTTTTTTTTCTTGTTTTTCCCCCTCCTGGCTCAGCCTCAGCACAGTGTCTCTGCTCCTTTTCAGTATGGTGACTACGACCCCAACGTGCACAAGCGAGGCTTCCTGGCACAGGAGGAGCTGCTGCCAAAGCGGGTAAAGGGCTCGACGGAGCTTGAGGGTGAATTTCCAGGTTTGGTGGCAGTTTGGGTGATGAAGCCCATCGTGCTGAAGGGGTCTGTGGTTCTGCCTCCCTTCACAATGCAAGCAGTCTGGAAAGATGTGCAGAGGGAGAAGAATTCACATGCATCCTGAAATATATTAAGCAAAATACAATCATGGATTTTCTTTCCAGTGGGTTTCCTGGTTGCATATTATGAGATACCAGGGTGGTGGGACCACAGGGGAATGAGCGAGCCAGGCTGAGCACACCTCACAGAAAGGAGGATGCTATGATGGAGACATTTGAGGGACTTCTGGCTCATTTGCTGCGTGGGGAGGCTGGTGAGAGCAGTGGCATGACTGGGTCTCTTGCCCCCTGTGTGGACCAGGTGATTAACCTCTACCAGATGACTCCAGAGATGTGGGAAGAGAGAATAACAGCCTGGTACGCCGAGCACCGTGGCAGAGCAAGGTGAGCATGTGCTGGCAGCACCCACAGCTTCGTGATGGTCCCTTCAACTGGAGGGTGTCAGCAGCTTTGGCAGGAGTTGGATCAGCTCTGTGAACCACTTCCCAGCAGCTGCCCTAGGCAGAAGGGAATATAAAGACCATGCTGAGTTTATCCAGTGAAAATGCTGCTTGCGTTTCCTGAAGTGGGAAGCTGCTTTGGCAACTTTTTTTTGCCTTTTATCCAGTGAAGGAGTGTGGCAGACATAATGTAAAGCCAGGTCAAGTCTGTTCCGCTCATTATTTCAACTACATTGCCCCAGAACTAGTTAAACTGTGCAAAAATTTGTGCAAGCTCACTTTTAAGCCTGTAGAATTTAACTTTTCCAATGCAGAAATAAACTGTCCCTAAGAACAGTGTCCCTCCAGGAGGAATATGGGGCATCTGTGTTACAGTCTGTAGGTAGGGTTAATCCTGGCAAACCTGTAGCAGACCCAAGAGGAGCAAAACACTTTCTCTGGTTGCCCTGAAAGTATCCTGCTTCCCACTGATGGGGTCCCAGGGAGAATTAAGGACTGTTTTTTTTAAACAGTCAGACCCACAGCTAGGGGGTTTTTGTTTGGTTGGTTGGTTTGAGATTTTTTCCCTTTCCTGTTTAAGATATTGGGAAATTAACTAAGCGAGGCAATGCAAATGCTGCATTGGGGTGGGCAGGCATTATCAGCTGTTCAGATGCCATCAAGAATTTGCTGCTGGTCGTTACTGATCCTGCCAGCAAATACAGGCTTTGACGTATGTCGCAGAGAGAGCCTGGGTTTGGGTACATGGTGTGTGCGTGAGATCAGCAAGAGCAGCTGTCTCACTTTCTCTGATGTTGGCAAACATCTTCACCTTTTGCCTTTTTTTCTTTCCTGTCTGACAGAGATGAAGCTGAAATGGAGTATTTGAAGATAGCTCAGGACTTGGAGATGTATGGAGTGAACTATTTTGCAATTAGGGTGAGTGCAGGCGGCAGGACGTGTTTTTGAGGCTTGCTGAGCTGCTTGCATTAGTCTTCTGCATCAATAAGATTGCTCAGGAGGAGCCTCGGAGAGCCTGGAGACGTGAAGGGTGGCCACGGTGCGCTGAGCGTCGCCCCCGTGATGTGATTTACCTCTAGCTGCCTGGGAGGCAGGAGCACCTTCGATGCACAGCCCTGTGGGGTCACTGCACAGGGCTGGGGGAAGTCCATGGTGGCTCCATGTGTCAACTCATCCCTGAGTCGAATAAAAGGTTTTTGGTTTTCTTTTCCTCTGTAGAATAAAAAGGGCACCGAACTGCTGCTTGGAGTCGATGCCTTGGGTCTTCACATTTATGACCCAGACAACAGGCTGACCCCCAAAATCTCCTTCCCGTGGAACGAGATCCGGAATATTTCATACAGCGATAAAGAGGTACGTCTAAATCTGCCCTTTCCCCTAAGACCACGGTTGCATGAAAATAATTTCTCTTAGTTCCTCTTTCTGCTGTGCTTGCTCTCACCAGCTTAGCTAAGCTAAGCCACTCCAATAAAAACCTTAATTTTAAGGCTTTCTGAAATTTTCCAGAAATGGGCATGCAAGAGGTCAACCATGAACTAATCTGTTCATTGCTAGAGTGTGTACAAACCCTCTCTTTAACAAGTTCAAAAGTAAAATTGTTGCTGATGTGCTCAACCCAGAAGACGAGACCCCTGTTTAAGCACGCAGAGGCCTCATATATTGTTAAATACAGTAAAACATTTTCCTGACAAGAGAAACTCTTGCATCGTGCTGTATCATTATGTTGTTTTGAGCTTTCAGGCTGCCAGGCTGGGCAGGACAGCTGGAACTTTCTGATGGGAGGTTGAGTATTTTAAGCCCACTGTTGGGTAGATTTCTATTAAACCCAAAATACAAACACAGATCTTCTGAAATGTGGGCCACCAAACCTAGTTGAGAGCAGCAGGGAAATGGGCTGTGGAAGTGTAGCCGATATGTTGGGGGGTTTTTTGTTTGTTTTTTGGATTTTTTTTTTTGCGGGGGGGGTGGGTCTGTGAGAACTTCCCAGAGAAAACTAACTGCCTTCATGGTAGGGAAGAAAATCTGCTTCAGTTAGAAACGAACTTAATTAAAAAGCTTAATATTGATCAGGATGAAAGCTAAAGGTTTCTCACCAGCTGCATTTATTGTAGGACCTGAAAAACCTTGTAAGGAGTAAGCCATAGTGGACTAGTTGTCATGCATTTCCCTCCTTAAACTAAAATGCTCTATTACTTAGTAAAACAGCCCAGCTCCCCTCCCTGAGGTTTGAAATCTCTGCTGTCAGACCTTGACACAAGACGGTAGCAGATCTTTCTCTGGGGTAAAGACCTGCCATGTTCCATCAGGTCAATAATCTGTGAGCTAAAATGACCACAAGTAGAGCTGACGTGATAGTAAACAAGCTAATAGGTGGGCATGACAGCTAATGCAGCAAAGGTGTTTAATCTCGGTAACAAGGATCAGCTGTTATGTGGAGCCAAAACTCCTCCTTGGCCTATTCTTGCTGCTGTGAGCAGTAACTCGCATGGGTTGTGCTGGGGCCAAAGTCCAGGGACGTTTGGGCACGTCTGCCCACGCAAAAGGATGGGAAGATTGGCTCTTAAACCAACAAAACAGAACACTGCCAGGCACATTCTGCCGAGCCCTTCTCGGGCAGTGCACTGTATTGACAAATCGGTCAGGTTTAATGGATACAGACTGCCTGCTGCAGCACTATCTCTGCAGCTGGTTATTTTTGTAGTTTGTGGAGGAGTGATGGAGTATGTGCCTGCCTTCCAAAAAACGCAGTGTTGCAGGGCACTCAATCTCCCGAATTATCCTCTTGTTAGTCCCAAGTCTTCTGTCTATCCAGGAGCTGTATGGCCAGAACTCTTGAATGTGGCACTGCCACCACGTCCTGTCAAGAGAATCGACATGGGGAAGTACTTTGACAAGGGTGAACCTAGGGCTGAAGCTGCTTTACTCATGCTCATGAATTGTAAGTGCAAGCTGGAGTGAGGGCATAATATTTTACATTGAAGAGCAGTCTGGGAACACATCTCGGTTTCTGGAGCACACATTTCAAAGAAAAATCTCGCCAGGGAGTCCTGGAGAGTGGAGATATCCATGGGATGGGTGACTGCTCCTCTTTCTATATTCCTTGTTCACTCTTCCTCCCATCTGTTGGGTCACTGAGCTGGTTCCTCTAACATCCTCTCTGCAAGCATGTCTCAATTTTCTCCATCGCATTCAATTCCCTACAGCTCCCTGGAGAGCAGCATCTTTGGGTTTCGGAGGTGCATGAGCCACCCCTGCCTGGTGCTGAGCGCTCTGCAGAGTGCCCCAGCCATTGGGCATTGCAGTTTGAAGGTAGCTGTGCTCCTGTTGCTTTTCATGGCACTAGCAATCTTTGGACCAAAGGAACAGTTGTCTCTTGGTTGCTTTTGATAGTAGATCTCTTGCTTGGCCTAAAGCTGTGAGGAGAGCTCTTGACTACGTTTCTCCAGCATGGCTGACTACCTCTGAGCCAGGGCTGTCAGGAAGACTTTCATAGCTGCATTTTGATTAAACACTGGACTCCCTCATAACTCTCTCACCTGTTTCTTTTTTTCCTCTTTTCAGTTTACGATTAAGCCGTTGGACAAAAAGATTGATGTTTTTAAATTCAATTCATCAAAGCTGCGTGTGAATAAGCTGGTAAGCCCGCAGACGGCGTGATTCCTGTTGTCTGCAGTGGTGGTTTCTGCGGGTGGTACAAGGCAACGCTCTTCTGGGGGATTTTCTTCGAGCTGTCCAAGGGAGCGTTTGGGAGCCCTGTGCTGTCACTAAGCAGCACTTGGGTCTGCAGAAGGAAGAAGGAGGATGGTCCTCATGTATCAGAGACGGGTTATTCGGCCCTGTGGGCTGTTCTGTGCTTCGTATGCCACCGGGCTGGGGGCCTCCTTCGCAAAGGCAGGGCCTGTCTGCAGGTCTTTTTCTTCCCAAGCACGCCAAGTTTGTGGAGCTTCAAGGCCTTGGACTCTGAAGGAGGTAGGCCATGATCTGTGGGGTGGAAAACATGTGAACCAGGGACTAAGAAAAGGCTCAGAGTGGAGAAACTTGTTTTAGTTACAGAAGAATAATTTGACCTTTTATTGCCCTGCATACATTCCACTCTTTGCTAACCTTTCTTTGGGCTTGCCATTTCTCCTGCCCTTCGCCTCCGTAGAGGGAATCACAGCAGTGCTCAAAACCTGCCAGAGGTAGCTGAAGGCCTCCAAGGAGGGCTTTTCCATCAACTTTCTGTTCCTGTGTGGTTGTGCCTGAGATCAAAAGTGGCTTTTTTCATATTTCAGTTCTTACCACAATAGTTTAAACATTCTGTTCAAAGAGGCTGCAAGTTCATCATAAACCTTGCAAAAAAAAAAAAAAAAAAAAGGGATGGAGAGAAGAACCGGGGAACTGGCCAAAGCTGTAGAAGGCTAACACATCCTTCGGGCTGGCATAATATTTGCCAGAACCATGCTGTGCTGCTAGTGCCTGCAGCATAAAAATGGTTTCTGTAAAGAGTCAATAGCCAAGCATGGGGATTAGGCTGTGCTGCAGCTTTGGGCTGCTGTAGGTGCCAGAGCTGGTGGAGTTTGAGATCAGTGGCTGAATGTGCCTGTGAGCACTGAGCCAAAGGAGTCCCTGATTTTTGTGTTAGGAGCACAAAGCACTTCCCTGCTACCACGTTGCAGCAGCTTCTCTCTGCTCTCTACCCTTGTCCGGAGCAGATTCTCCAGCTGTGTATTGGGAACCACGATCTTTTCATGAGGAGGAGAAAAGCAGACTCGCTGGAGGTGCAGCAGATGAAGGCACAGGCCAGAGAGGAGAAAGCCAGGAAGCAGGTGAGTGACATATCTCATATAACCTGTCTGAGAGCCAAAATGGGGAATGCAAAGTATGCTCAGAAAGTAACAGCCTCCAGAGTGACACCAGCACATGGAGCAGCTGTGCGGGAAGGTCGAGCTGAACAGCTCGTTTCAGCTCCCTTCTTGCCAGTCAATCTTGACTCGGCTCCATAGACTGATGGCAAAGTTGGGAGGCAAAGGCTACGCCTTGTCCTGTAAGTGTGTGAGCATCTTTCCTGGCCTTGGTTTACTCTTGGGCTCCATAGCTGGATAGTCGTCACGGCATGGAGTAGTCGGAGGTGATTAAAGTGGGATGTGATGGGGGAAATGTGCTTTCCCGTGGTTCTCTGCCTTGTTTTCTCCTTGTATGGTGGTTAGAGGAGGCTCCTGGTCATGCAGCTTGCGTGCCCAGCGGTGCTGGCCTTGGCTGCTGCAGGTCAGCCCAGACAGCTCTTCGGAGGCAGTGGCATGTAGTTACTGAATGCGTGTCAGCAACGTGCATTGCAGAAATACTTGTTTCTTGCTTTTAGACCTTTTCTGCTCACTGAAGTCCACACAGCTAATCTGAGCACTGCTGTTTTGAATATAAATGTCCCTTACGCAGTAAAACCACTAGATAGCAGCAGCAAAAAACAAAGCAGAGTGTTTCACTATAAGTTTCTTGTATTCAAGGGACTGTTAAATGAACCTACTTCACTTGGATTTGGGCATGTTCACAGGGGTGCCTGCATGGCGCTGGAGTGGGATTGAAGCACTCGGTCATGCTGGAGAGGTGATATGGCTTCTTCTGCAGCGCCTGCCAGCAGCTTCTGGGCTGGCTGTGGAGGATGGTATAGAGGTCCCCGTAAGGGAAACCTCCTTGGCTTCACTGGGGAAGCACTATTTGCTTCTAGCACAGGCTCCTCCAGGCAGCAAGGACTTAGCCTTCACGGAATAAGAGGTTCTTGCAAGGAGCAACGTGATGCCTGTGTGCTAGTGGCATCAACATCAGGTGTTGGACTCGTGAGTTTCATAGACACAGTTGAATGATGCAGGCTCGAACTGATCTTGTCCAGAGCTGACTCCTGAGCTGCTGGGGGAGGTGAGGGAGGTCACTGTGAACCCTGAGGGTGAGTAGGAGCTTTTCAGGTCCTAAGAGCTCTCAAATTCAAGTGTTTGTGCGGAACGAGAGGTGTCAGGCTCCTTGTTCAGCCGCCCTCACCTGAGGTGGTCACCGTGATCTCTAGCGTGCCCTCTCCATCTTCCCCAGGGCCTGCAGTGGTTAAATTATTTCCAAACAGCCTGCTTTTGTATTAGGAGCCCACACCACTCCATGAGGGATGTGGATTGTGATAATAACAGATGAGGAGAACTTTCCACTGAAGGAAGTAGTGCTGCTAAAGCAGTGGGTGCTTCCAGAGCGCAGCTGGTGTCCAAGGAGCAGAGCAGTGTGTCTTGCCTTGTTCATTTGTCAGCTTGTTTTGGGAAGAGATGGCAGGTTTCTGGCACGCTGTGTCTCAGGGGGAGTTTGTACTGGCCCTTAAGTCTGGTCTGGGTGTCTGTTCAACTCTCTTCAGTCACTCCAGATGTAGCTGGAGCTCCTGGGACTTGACTTGCTCGAATTTGTCCAGTGAATCAGTGCAGGAGGATGCTGTTTCAGACTCAGTGCCCAACTAGCAGGCTGCCCACAGGCGGCTTGTGTGGCAGCACCAGGTATGAACAGCAAATCAGGGATGTGTCAGGAACTTGCAAGGTAGCAGGATGCTTGCTGTCCTGTTATCAAACCTTCTCTGTTTACTGAAGGCTCCATATTTTTGAGTGGAGATCAGTACAGAGGATGCAGTGCAGTCCTGTGCTCTGACCCCCAGGCAGTGACCCTGCATCACTTCTCACTTACCTTGACCCCATTTTTGCAGATGGAACGACAGCGCCTGGCCCGAGAGAAGCAAATGAGGGAAGAAGCTGAGCGGACGAGGGATGAGCTGGAGAGAAGACTGATGCAGTTAAAGGAGGAGGCAACGATGGCCAACGAGGCTCTGGTAGGTCTTGGGGAGGTGGTTTGCCGCAGCGCGGCAACTGTTCCTGGCTTTTTCCATGGCAGAGGCGTAGTGTGAATGTCCTTGAGCTACACTGCCACCGCTGCTAGTGGACAGTGAGCAGGAGGCTGGACAGAGCTGGCTTCGTACAGCTGGCCTCTTGTGACAGGAGCACAAATTGGGGAAGAGCCTGGGCACAGCTGGGTGTTGGCTGGGGACTGCTCTGCAAAAGGCTGCGACTTACTTGAAAGCAGGGGGAACTTGTGGGCAACTGAGACTGACCGTGCAGAGCAAGTAGCTCAGGGCTCAGTGCTGCGGACTGTGAGGGTGTTTGGGGTGCCATTCAGAGTGTGCTTGATGGTTTCGTGCACGTTAATTCACAGATGAGATCTGAAGAGACAGCAGACTTGCTGGCTGAGAAGGCCCAGATCACAGAGGAGGAGGCCAAGCTCCTGGCTCAGAAAGCAGCTGAGGCCGAGCAGGAGATGCAGCGAATCAAAGCCACGGCCATCCGGACAGAGGAGGAGAAACGGCTGATGGAGCAGAAGGTGCTGGAGGCAGAGATGTTGGCTCTGAAAATGGCCGAGGAGTCTGAGCGGAGGTCAGCGGGTAACCTCGCAGCTGCCTCCGCGCTTTGCTTTCCATCTCCCTCCTGACGAGTGAGGGAGACGGGTGTTTCATGCCTCAAGTTAGTCCATGCGGTTTGCAGGATCTTGTGGCCTCCTATGCCTGTATGATGGCAAGTGATCTCAAGGCTTGGCTGGTCCCTTTCTGCTCTGCCATTCATGCCTCACATCCTGGCAGCGGCAGCTGAAACCACCTCTCCTTTTGGGTGATTTCTGCAAACACCCACGTGCATTCAGCAGAGCGTTTGACAACGTTAGACACTTGGGTTTGTGGGTGGTGGTGTGGTTTTTTTATTATTATTATTATTATTTTTCCTTTGGATATTAGATCTACTTTCATTATTCTTCTTTTGTCCCCCTATTTTCCTCAGCTTTTTGATTCTCCTATGCATCCGTGAGGTCTCTGTTTCAGGCTAGCCTTGAGGGCTCCCTCGCTTCCACAATCCTGTGTGTTAAAACTGTTGTTTCCCTCTTGCTACCAGAACCAACTCCCATGGTGCATTCAGTAGTGAACAAACTAAAGATTGCAATTATTTCCTTCCAACAGATTAATCCTTTCCATGAACACTGTCCATGTCCATCTCTTCTCTGCCATGATCTTGTGAAATCTTCCCTCAAATTTCAAACCAGCAGAGAAGTTTTCTCTGTCCTTCACAGGGGATTCTTGGGAGCCCTTAAGGTTTAAGGGGAAATATTAGTGTTGGAATTGCCCTTCTACATCTTGGGCTTTTGTGCTGTTGACTTAAAATATCCCACCTGTTGGCAGTTCCATCACTTCCTTTGCTCAAATGATCTCCCTAGATGAGATCTGCAGCAAGATCTAAGTCTATCCTATGTCTAGACTGTAATCCTACTTACCCTTTTCTTTTTCATTCCTCAGTTTTGATCTGATATTCACCATCCTTGCTGTTTTCCTTTACAGAGCGAAGGAGGCTGATCAACTAAAGCAGGACCTTCAGGAGGCTCGAGAGTCTGAGAGGAGGGCGAAGCAAAAGCTTCTGGAGATCACCAGCAAGTCCTCATATACAGTAAGACCAATCTGTGTCGTCATCTGTTTCCCAACAGTAAATGTAACTTCTTCTGTAGCCTGGAGGAGTCTTGTGACTTTGTGGTTCCCTCCTGGCAGCGTAGGGGGCATGAGCTGTCTTATTGCTTTGCTTAGCAGGTGTTCAAAACCATTTTGCAGTGTTCACCCTCCTCATCCAGGCACCCTGCCTAGCACACCACTTCCCTCTTTCTTTCTTCTCATCTACCCTGCCTGATCCTACAAGAGCAAGGGAGCTGCTGGTGGAATTAAAAGGCAGGGAATTTTAAACCGAATTTAGCAGGTACACCACAGCTTTAGCAGGTACACCATGCTTTTTCAGCCAGTGGAGCTTCCCAGGTCTGTGATAGCCTTTAAAATAGCGTTGAGTACAAAATAGATGTCCTTGTTCCTGGTATATAAGGATAAACATTGTTCAGAACCTGTAAATTCATTCTTCAGGTTTCAGCTGAGCTTTGTGCATCTACACACTGGGAAAAAAAAAATCACTGCAGGGACATAATTCCACAATAGCCCATGGGGAGGGTTTCATGCCTTTCTCCGAAGCATCTGGCCCTGCTTTTTGCTGGGGACCAAATGCTAGACTAAATGACCATTGCTCCGAGTTTGTCTGGCAGCTCCTTTCCTCAACATTTCTCATGGTGCTGCGGAACCCTCCAAAGTCCCCCAGTGCTCCCCTCCTGGCAGCTCCTGCCTGCTGTGCCTGGCAGCTCTGCCACCTCCCCGTCCAGCAGGGTGATGAGGGAAGAGCTGAATGTCTTTGGGAATAAACACAGCAGATGTACATGGAAGTTATCGAGCCATCCAGCACTGAAGTTTTCATTTGGACCTGCAGGCTCCTTCCCCCTCTCCTCCTGAAGCTGTAGGGAGCAGCTCAAAGAGACTGAAGTTACATTTCATCCCGGTTCTCAGAAGTTCCCAGCAAAAATGTTCAGAAGCTTTTAAGCAATTGCAGTGTTGGAGAAGAATCATAGCGTAGGGGGCCCTCAATCAGGTCTAGCTGCTTTAATGCTTTATAAACCTTGTGCCCTTGTTTTACTGCCAGTCACTAGGTTTCTGGGATCTGCCAGTTCTTTAATTCTTTCAGCTTGCACATGAGTGGAGCAGCCTTATTAGAAACCTTCCAGGTCTGGGTGCCTCCTGCTGCTGCGACCGTCTGCAGTCAAAGCGGCAGAGCTGGGTTTGCTCAGCTCTGCTGTGGAAATCCCCAGGGTGGCTCGTGCTTGGCAGTGTATTCCTGCCTATGGCATTACAGGCTGAATTGTGGGGGATGTTTTTAGAGTTGCCTAAAATCTTTATAAAAAAAAAATCCACTCCATCAGCTGCATCTCTCTGAGAGGATCCACACCGCTTGCAGACACATTGTGCTCTGTCCTCTGCCTTCCTGCAAGAATCTTGGCTTCCCAGGTGCAGCTGCCAGGGCCAGACAGGGAGGGAAGCTGCCCAGGTAAGTAGTAGATCCCCTCCTGCTTCTCTCCAAGACTGTGGGGGAGTGCCCTGCCCCACAACCTTTGTAGTAGTTATTTTCCAAGCTCAGCAGGACGTGGATCTGGCCAGTGTGTCAATCCTCTCCTGTCGCCCGCAGTCGGGGACAGGTGAGCGACATGCTCCAAAACACTGTTCCAGCACAGAGGAACCTGGTGCAGAGGGACCTGGCTGGGTCCTGGAGTTGGAGGCGTTTGGAAGGCCACCGCCAGAAGGCTGCTGTCCCCCTGGCACACAACCGCTTTGCCAGGCTGTGCCATCCTGTCACCCAGTTCCTCCCCTCCTTCATGAGGGTTTGACCAGGAGCTTGCTCTTTCCTGTTATCCCAGTGCCAGTGTTATGCAGCGCCCTGGCACTGAGAGCAAGTGTGTCCCTCCTGGAGAGCACAAGCAAGAGGAAGGGAGGAATGGAGTGATAAGTTGCAGAAAAAGCAAGAAATGGTTTTAAAATACCTTTTTCACCAACTTTCCTGTCCCTTATATCAGCTCCATAAAGCTTGTTTAGCCCAAGCTGTTTCAGCAGCTGATGCAGGAGGAGGAAAGGGAATGTGAATCTGTGTCTCTCGGCGGCCGTGATCCCAACCCCAGTGATCTCTCCAACCTGTCATCACCGCTGTAGTCACCACATCTCATTTCCATGTCATCCTCGTCGTCTTCGTTGCCCATCGGGCCCAAGCGGGTACTAGCTTGTGGCAGGTCTGAAGGCTGTTGCCTCCTTCGCATCTCACTTGAAATAATAAGCGCTTGTCAGGTTGCCCCAGTTCCCTGCACAGTGAAGTACCGGTACCGGTTCCTGGGGGGAAGCCTGGCGCTTCCTCCGTGTCTGCCGGCTCGTTCGCTCCGTGCTCCAGAGCAGTGACCGCTGCCCGTAGAGCACTCGCCCTGCGCCCTGCCCGGGATCGCTTCAGTGCGGAGTGATTCAGTTTGCGGCAGCTGAGGGAACGCAGAAGGGAAAAGATCCACGTCTCCTTAGCGAGCTGCACCTTGAATAAAATTGCCAGCGTTACATGTGAGATTTGCAGAGTTACCACAAGCAGCAGGGAAATGCTTTGCTCACGAGTGCCCGAGAGCTCTTTCCCAGCTCCGACTCCTGCACCAATTTCCTCCAGTTTGTTGCCGCTTCGTGAAAGCGATGCCAAGAAGAGGGGAGCGGGTGGTTGTAGTAACCCTGGCAAATTCCTGGAAGGACTTGATGGTTGCAGTGCTTGCAGTTCCTACTCTGGTGGTGGTGATGCTGGTTTTTGTTTGTTGTTTTTAGCTCAAAGCTGTAGGCCAGTGCTGAAAAATTGCTAAAGGGTGTTTTAGGGCCAGCAGGATGATTGTGATTATTAGTGCAATGAAATGTGGGTATGTCAGTCAGTTAAAGCACTTAAGTGGATCCATCCCCTTTCCTCGAATTTTTGGTTCTCAGCTACCCCTTTCCCGACCACACTCCAGGATTGATGCAGCTGTGCTTTTGGCTGGCAGCAATTGAAAATGGAGTAAAAAATGGTGTTTTTCTTATCGTTTAAGTCTGCCATAGCTGTAACATGCAGCATCTCAGCTTGGTCTCTGCAGGGAAAGATCCCGGGCTGCTCGTGGATTCAGAGTGGGTGGTAAGGGACGTTGTTGCACAGAGTAAATCTGGCACATCTGGATGCCGTTTGGAGAGCTGGATGGGGGTTTTGTAACCAAACCAAGGACTCGGTGTGCTGGCAGCCATTCCCACTCAGACCCGTGGCTGCCTGAAATCCCTGTGCTGCCTTTGGCACGCGCCACAGCTCGCAGCCTCCTCGAATGTACTGCAAGAGCAGAAGTGATAATTTAAGTCCGGAAGCTCTTGCTCTGCTGGTAATGAGCCCATTTGTTAGAGCAGTGACAGAATTTATGACTGAAAGCAAGGTCTCTTTTTTTTTTTTTTAAGACATCTTAGACAAAGAGAAAAAGCCAAGGGCCTGGCAGTAGGTGGGATATCGCAGCTCTTTGCAGGAGGACAAATGTCCATAGTCTGTGTTCAGCTGCGATTTAAGTGATTCCCTGGGTTATCTCTGGATTTGCAGTCAAATCTAGCAGTGGAACTGCAAATCACTGCTGTGCAGTGAGTACACTTTGTGTAGTGTGCATCTCCGTGTGCCTTACCAAAACTACAGCCCAAGTTAAGCCCTTGGGATTATGCTATCCTTTGATCACACTTTCGAGAGCGCCAGAGTGCAGGACCCAACTGTCACACATTGACCCAATTTGAAGTTCACTTTTTTTTTTTGTTAATATAATTTACTCCTAAAGAGCTACCAGATGCCTGCCAAAAGGCAGCTTCTGGCCAGTGTTACTTTAAATGCCATGATGGTGCCAACACCTGGGCTTGACAAAATTCCAGCGGTAGTTTCCTGAAGGCAGGTTTAGTCACCACTAAGAACAGGGGCCCGGACGGGTGACAGCTGAAGATTGAGGAGCAACTTTGGAAGGGAGTGGGGGAGATCTGCAGACCCCATTCAGTGCTGGAGACACGAGAGTTGTTTGCTGCTCTGCTCCTACAGTCCATGAAGTCCTTGCTGACTTTTGCATTAAAAGATCACGAGCTGAAAAATAGCCAGTTAATCTGTCCCATGGGAAGCTCAGCAGGCATACCTGCTTCAAAGAGAAGAAATCGTGGGCCCTGCTGCCACAGGAAAATGCATGTTCCTTCCCTTCGCTGGTGCAAAGAATGAGATCCAGTTCAGCACAACATAAATACACCCAGCTTCCATAAACAATAATGTTATTACCTACGTGAGCAACAGGTTGTGCTTGTGAAATTATTAAGCAGCAGCTCCTTGCACAGTGGGCTTTGGCATTATTCCAGTTTCACTCTTCCATTACAGAACATCTATTGACAGAAACACTTGCATGGTCTAAAGTGATTAATTTGGCCTCCCTCTCTTTAGCAGTCTGTGAATTCCAGTACAACAGCATTGCCCACCGACCTGCCAAGCTTCAACCTCATCAGTGAGAGCCTCTCCTTTGACTTCAAGGATACAGACATGAAGCGACTTTCAATGGAAATCGAAAAGGAGAAGTATGTGGTGGGCTCCCTTTGTTCGGGTTTGGTGCTGAGCTGGCTCACTTGCAGGAAATAGAACCATAGCTGGGTCAAATGCAACTTTTACATTCCACATAAGCATCAGCTTGAGGTGAGAGGGGGAGAAATCTGGTAGCAGCCGTTCGATGGCTGTGGTGCATTGGGCTGTCTGAGGCCGCCGCCTGTGCATTTGCAGTATGCCCAAGCCATGGATAATGAAAGTCCTATGAAGTTAGGGCTTAACCTTTTATTCTTTGAGCCTGGGGCACGTTTATGTGTAAAAAAGTGTGCACAGGCAAGCTTGGAAGTGATTATGGGCTTTGGTCTGCATTTTCCTGCAGCCTCCAAAACTCTAAATTTAGCCGAAATCAAAGCAGACCAAATTTTAAGCTCTTTAGCAATAACACACTTTGTCCATCGGGTAGCAGCGCAAAAGTAGAAGGGGTTTGCCATAGCATGTGGTCAAGACCCCCTGAGGCACAAGGGAAACTCCCCTGGGCCCTACAGGGTGGATTTTTGTGCCTCTATCCTGCACCTGAAATAGCAGAGCGTTGGTGTAGGAATGAACATTAAAAGGTCTTCCTAAAGCTGAAAAGAAAAAGCCCGAAGCTACGAATAGCAGGAAGATCCCTGCTTGTTTTCTTTACCTAGGCTGCTAACTAGGGCATCCCACTTTCCTAAGCAGGAGATCTCAGCTCAGCCAAATGATAAAAGCAATAGCATGTTTTCACTGACTTCTCCGGGAGCGCTTTTCACTCCTCAGGTGCTGACATAAACTTCACTGCAGATTTCTACCCTCTGAAAGGGTCCTTGCTAGCGTACTGGCAGTTTCACTTAAATTTTCGCATTTCAGCTCAAATACTGACTAGCACCACAGGATTTTTTTTTTTCCTCTGGTAGGTGACTCATTGCAGAAGAAGTCCTGGGAGTGGCTGGGATTTTTTGTTTGGTGGTTTTTTGGGAGCCTTCTCTCAGAGATGCTGTATATCTTAAAGATCCTGCTATTTTGGATGCGTGCTCACTCCTATGCCTTTCAAAATCTAAATCTCTCAAAAAACATGCAAAGTCTGTATGTCAGATTTGTTGTTTGCCCTTGGAAAGTGGCCGGAAAGAATTTGTGCTATCTTTTTGTGAAAAGGGTTTGAGAGAGCTTGAGCAGTGGAGTAGAGCAATGCTACTTACATCAGTCTTATATGCAGAAGCTGCTTAGAATTAGTTTAAGTCACAGTGCAGGTTCAGTTGAAAATGGGGAGATGTATAAACATAATCTGTCAGCCCCCAGCTGGCTATATTTTTGTAGTAATGTGACTTGCAGTTTGGTTCCAGGGTCAGCTGTCTGGGTCTTCTTCTCAGTAATGAACAAATGACTGCTCAGGGTAGCTTAAGTGTATGCTATAAATTAACACTGTTAGCTCCACACACTAAAAATGATGAAGATTTGGGGAGGTTTTCTGTAACAATTCCATTTTCAGCTGCTGTGGAATTATGTAGCCCCATGCAGATGGTTGGTGCTAACCTCAAGCCTGTTCTGTGTGCTAGGGTCGAGTACATGGAGAAAAGCAAACATCTGCAGGAGCAACTGAACGAGCTGAAGACAGAGATCGAGGCGCTGAAGCTGAAGGAGAGAGAGACCGCGCTGGATATATTGCACAATGAGAATGCCAGCCGAGGCAACAGCAAGCACAACACTATAAAAAAGGTATCTGAGGGCTCCAGTTTATATCTCACCTGATTAAACCCTTTAAAAGCCATGACAATATTGCCCTTCCCTTTGTTTTAGCTTTTGCACAAAGCGTTATAATAAATCGGTTTGATCTGGGCTTTCTGCCCAGACCGTTCAGCTCCAAGCCGCGGCGTGGAGCATTTCAGCTGCTGCTGGGTTCCATTTTGTTTGCCACCACCTGGATTGGCTCAGCAGTGCTGGGGGTGAAGGGGTGCAAAGGCCTGGAGGTTTGAACCCCAACAAAAGCTGGGCAGAGATGCCATGAGAAGAGGTTGGCTACTCTAGTTGCTCCAGGAACAGGAAAAGCCCTCGCTCCTTATTCCAGCCATACCGTAAATGCGTTACAAGGGAACAGACTCAAGCTTGGCTCGAGGAGGAGAGCACAGCTGATTTATGGGCAGAAAAAGCCTTCTCTTCACTTCCAGTCTCTTCTCAAATAACCTATTGTGAAACCACAAATCCTAAGGGGAAAATCTT